GAAAGAAATAGTAAAAGTATACATTGAAGAATTCCGCTGCGGCTGGTGTTTTCTTAGTTTGTTCTCGGGTGTATCGGCAGCTCCTGGTTGTGCAGCTCTGCTCTGGCTCGGTGTACACCACTCCTTTTGTGTATATGGCCGTGTAGAGAGTAAACAGCATTTATTTTCGCGTATATTCAGGAATATTTGTGAAATATATTTATTTATATTTATTTTTATTTTATTATATGCAAATAACCTTAAACTTGTAGCGGGAGCACCGACAGACGGCAGCGCGAACCGCCAGCAGCCGTGTATATATTTTCTCTCCCAGGGGTTTATGGATGCCATTTAAATATATTTTTTGTTTTATTTGTTGAGAATTATTGTATATTTCCGCATAAATTTTGTATTTTTTAACTCTATTCACTAATACCTACAACGGAGCCCCTGTATTCCTTCGGCCTGCCGCTGCTCGGCGGCTGGTTTAGCCTGCAGCCCTCTACACCTGCCTGGGTTCTGAGCTTTTCTTCTCTCTCTCTGCAGTATTTTTGTTTTTTTTATTTCTTTTGGGGCCCTTGCATGCCCCTTTGTGCGGCTGCTGAGGCCAGACACCGCCACGGCCTCCTCTCCCTGGCGGTCGCCGGCAGCGGCGGCGTTTGTTTTTCTCTATAGGAGGAGATACAGCAACACAGAGCATCTGCTGCTGGCTGATGAAGGTCAACACAGCCGGTGTGTTGTCCCCCAGCAGGGTAAAGCGTGAGCTCTCTCGCCGCTGTATCTCGTGTCTGCCTCTGTTTCCTTCTGCTGAGCCCATTCATTCTCCCTGCCTCGCTCTCACTCTTAAAGCCGCAGCAGCTCCCGCGGTTAAGGGGGCCCTCTCACAGCAGCAGCAGCAGCGGCAGCAGCAGCAGCAGCAGCAGCAGTGGAAGAAACAGAGCAACAGCTGCGGCCTGCCGCCCCCAGCAGCCCAGCACTGGCTGGTGCGGGAGCGGCATAGCTCGTGCTCTCCCCCTGAACGATGCTTGAGTCGGCTCTGAAGGCTCAGGATACACTACACCCTCCCCGATCTACCCCCAACAGCAGCAGCAGCAGCAGCAGCAGCAGCAGCAGCAGCAGTTGCTGCGGTCGTTCGTTCTCTCTGGCCGCATCTCCTCCCGCGCAGTGCGCGGCTGCGTCTTCATCAGGCGCTTTCGTCGGCGGTGGTTTATGCCAAATGCCCCCAGAGGCTCAGAGCAGGGACCCGGGGGCCCCCGGGGCCCCAGGGGCCCCCGGGGCCGCAGGGGCCCCCGGGGCCCCAGGGGCCCCCCTCGGGGCCCCTGAGTGTTCAGGCGATGTATCTGTATCTAGCCCGTGTGGAGGGGGAGATGCTGGTGCGCTTAAGGTTGCAGGGTTGGATGAGCAGCAGCTGCTGCAGCTGCTGCAGGAATGGCGGGAGCAGGAGGAAGCAGAGAAAGCTGCGGTGTACAGACAGCTGAGGACCCTAGAGGCCCGGGTGTCTGCCCAGGAGGCCCTCATCGCCGAGCTGCTGGGGGCCCTAAAGAGAGAGTTCCCGCAGAGCTCCCGGTGGGTGCCAGTGGAGGCCCTGGCGCATGCGGCGAAGCTTCATTCCCCCCACAAGCACCAGCAGCAGCAGCAGCAGCAACAGCAGCAGCAGGATCCGGGTGTACAGACAGCGGAGACGAGCAGTGGGGGGGGGGCGGGGGCTGCGGGCT